GTGAGACGCTTTACATTCAATTCAATCAAATTAATATATGCCATTTTAAATCAAGTGAAAGCGTCTAAATAAATGTACTTTTAATACGTGTGACGTTCCATGAGGAAAGGGACCTTAGCTGCAAAAAAATGAAAATTGAGTTTTTGATATCAGTCGATAGATCTTGAGTTGCTCTTTCAGATACAAAAGTTAAAAATTATACTTTTCTATTTAGTTTTTTTGTTATAAAGCATTAATCATGACCATGTTAATCGCGTTCCAGCACGGACTACAGAAACCATCCCCACCACTTCTACACTAGTATACTTGTCGTAAGCGTGAGCTGTAGGAACGATGTAGTAGTAAGGTGGTGGGGCTGATTTTCGATGGAGGGTCTCAACCAATCAGGGACGCTCTACTTTAAATACCTTTTCTGGAAAATGCGTCTATTGCAGCTAAGGTCCCTTTCCTCATGGAACGTCACACGTATACGTATAAATTACAATATTGTCGAGGAGCATGATTATGTTCTAAAAATCATTAATAATTATAGAATTTTCATTTCATGGAATTTCATTTGTCATAATTATTTTTGAGCTGAATTTTTATTTGTTAGAATTAGCATTTTTGTCCGAAATTGCAAATGACCGAACAAACAATCAACAGATAGGTAAAAAATTAAGGTTGAAAATCCTGGAAGTACCACTTCCACAAAAAAAGTTTTTACATATGCCAACATTTAGGGCTCAATTAGGGATAATTTAGTATCACATGCAAAAATTTAGGGCCCTTTACCTATATTTAAAATAACCCTTGATACTGCTAGCTTGACGTCAAGCAGGATGTACCACACTATAGAACCTAAATATTTTTCAAAATTTCGTCCATAGGAATTTAGGGCTCATTTAGGGCTCTCAACTGGGACTATTAAAAATTTTTAAAAACCACCCCTAAGTACAAAAAACATCCCCAATTATTTAAACTCGATTTAATCAAACAATAATCATATAGGAATTAAGAGCTAAATTAGGGTTCTTCAATAGCACTAAATTCACTTTTTAAAAGTGCAACCCAACCACCCCAGCCAAGTAACTAATAGATAGTCAACGACAAAAACTACCCTCAACTAGTTAAAACTCAATATTTTCAAAAACAAACACATACGCATTTAAGGCTAATTAAGGGCTCTAAAATATAATTAAATTGCACAGTAAACTTGGTTGTATCTTTTTCTATTGCAACGTTTTGATGCACATAAGTTATATCAAAAAGAGATCGTTTTGTGTATCATTTTTAGAAATGATACACGAAACGGTCTCATTTTTTGATGCAAAAAATTTAATCAATTTATATCAATCATGGCCGAATTGAATCGACTCAAAATTATACGAATTTTTTCAGATATTTTGGTAATAGTACAATTGCGGAGACCATTTCACTATTTAATTTGAAAATGAAAATAACAGAAAATCAAAGACAATGTGCAATTCGATAATTAAAAAGTGACAGCTTATAAACATAACCTAAAATGGATGAGAAAAAATTTGTCGATAAAATCAATATAGCCGATCTTTTTAGAAGGTAGATGGCAGTTTTGCTTTTTATAAAAACGATTCAGAAAAAATTTAAAGAAAGAAAATAGATGAGTGCTGCCATCTACCTTCTAAAAAGCTCGGCTATATTGATTTTATCGACAAATTTTTTCTCATGCATTTTAGGTTATGTTTATAAGCTGTCACTTTTTAATTATCGAATTACACATTGTCTTTGATTTTCTGTTATTTTTATTTTCAAATTAAATAGTGAAATGGTCTCCCCATTTGTACTATTACCAAAATATCTGAAAAAAATTCGTTTAATTTTGAGTCGATTCAATTCGGCCATGATTGATATAAATTGATTAAATTTTTTGCATCAAAAAATGAGACCGTTTCGTGTATCATTTCTAAAAATAATACACAAAACGATCTCTTTTTGATATAACTTATGTGCATCAAAACGTTGCAAAGATTTGATGCAATTTTTGGTCTCAATTTGATACTTTTAGGAAAACTGTGTGGTTATTCAAAAATGATACACCATCTTCAAAAACTACCCCAGAGTAGTTCAAACTTAATTTATTAAAAACAAAAATACTTAGGAATTTAGGGCTAATTTAGGGCTCTTAAATGGAACTACATTAAGTGTTCAAAAAAGATACACCAACTTTAAAAAGTAGTCCAGAGTAGTTCAAACTTAATTTTTTCAAATTAAATTTAGCTTTTAATTCCTATATGATTATTGTTTGATTAAATCGAGTTTAATTAATTGGGGATGTTTTTTTGTACTTAGGGGTGGTGTTTAAAAATTTTTAATAGTCTCAGTGGAGAGCCCTAAACGAGCCCTAAATTCCTAAGTATTTATTTTTTAAAAAAAATTAAGTTTGTACTACTCTGGGGTAGTTTTGAAAGTTGGTGTATCTTTTTTGAACACTTAATGTAGTTCCATTTAAGAGCCCTAAATTAGCCCTAAATTCGTAAGTATTTGTTACTTCAAAAAATTAAGTTTCAACTTTCAACTAATCCACGGTAGTTTTTAAAGTTGGTGCATAATTTTTGAACACACAATGAAGTTTTTTTAAGAGCCCTAAATTAGCCCTAAATTCCTAAGTATTTATTTATTGAAAAAATTAAGTTTGAACTACTCTAGGCTAGTTTTTAAAGTTGGTGTAACATTTTTAAACAGCCAATGTAATTCCATTTAAGAGCCCTAAATTAGCCCTAAATTCTTAAGTATTTTTGTTTTCAATAAATTAAGTATGAACTACTCTGGGGTAGTTTTTGAAGATGGTGTATCATTTTTGAATAACCAATTTAATTATATTTTAGAGCCCTAAATTAGCCTTAAATGCGTATGTGTTTGTTTTTGAAAATATTGAGTTTTAACTAGTTGAGGGTAGTTTTTGTCGTTGACTATCTATTAGTTACTTGGCTGGGGTGGTTGGGTTGCACTTTTAAAAAGTGAATTTAGTGCTATTGAAGAACCCTAATTTAGCTCTTAATTCCTATATGATTATTGTTTGATTAAATCGAGTTCAAATAATTAGGCATGTTTTTTTGTACTTAGGGGTGGTTTTTAAAAATTTTTAATAGTCCCAGTTGAGAGCCCTAAATGAGCCCTAAATTCCTATGGACGAAATTATGAAAAATATTTAGGTTCTATAGTGTGGTACTTCCAGCTTGACGTCAAGCCAGCAGTACCAAGGGTTATTTTAAATATAGGTAAAGGGCCCCAAATTTTTGCATGTGGTACTAAATTAGCCCTAATTGAGCCCTAAATGTTGGCATATGTAAAAACTTTTTTTGTGGAAGTGGTACTTCCAGAATTACCGACCTAAAAAATTAAATTATTTACATTTGCACTGAAACACTTTCAAATTCTAAATTGTGTTTTTTTTTTAATGTAAAAATTCCAAAAATATAGAATGATTCCGATTATGTATATTTGTTGGATTCTTTCTTAAAAGAATTTTTCACATCTAAAAAAATTTGTTTTTTTTTCAATTTTTTTCATTAGTCATTCATCAAAAATTAAATCAATTTTTTTTCCACATGAATTGAGTTAAATAAAATTTCATTGATGACACCAGTTTTCTCATTGCACGTGCGCTTTCATTTCATCTATACATGAGATGAATATTATGAATATACAAAATTAAATTCGTCAATAGAAAATGTCAGATATTTCTACTGAGATACGATTTTTATAACTTATATTTTATTCATAAGAATTTTGTTATCTCTATTATATATCTTTTGTAACATAGCCCTAAAATTTTCCTAATAATCGTTTTACCACTATATCTTTTGCTTATTTTAACAAGTTTTTTGAATTTTTATTTTTATTACTTTGTTTTTTTTCCCCGAGGATTTTTTTATGACTTCATACTCTTGATTTTAATCATATACAAGAAATATTTTCATATATATATATATACATATATATAATAATGTACCTATAGGTATTTGTGTCATTTTACAAATGACAGTAAAAAAGAAGATGTTTTTTAACATTAAAAAATTTGAATTTATCTCATTGAAATTTAAATTATTTTCATGTTCCATTTTGACATATATATTTAATTATAGGTATTATATGTTTCAAGAAATCGTCAAGAAATTAATGATCTGTTATTAAAAATCGATATAATTTGATGTCGCAAGAGATGCGAGTGTTTCTATGTTTTTTTTTTTATTTTTAAATTAATAAGTCATTTTAGATGAGTGAATATATTTTACTATATTATATATGGGGGGGCATTCCACGTGAGATTTTCGTACAAATTTTTTTTTGACTTGAACATTTTTTTTTCGAAATCTTTATGAAAAATTAAATTGTTTTTTTTTTATTTTTTTAATTGATATAAATGATGAAAGTTATAATTTTTTTTAAATTTAACATCGTCGAAAGCCAAATATACTCTCAAAATCGAAATTAATAGATTTTTGATTTTTTTAATCCAGTCTCTGATAAATAAGAAACTTTCTCCCATTAATGCGAAAGTAGTGATTTTTTCCTTTCCTTATTTATCAGAGACTGGATTAAATAAAATTGCAAAAATGAATTACTTCAGTTTTGAGAAAAGTTACTTTTTAGAATTAATTTTAATTTTTCAAATGCTTTCGTTGTAGTTACGTTTTATTTTTTACAACATATTTAAAATATCGAAGAGAAAAATTAAATAAATTTCAAAAATATTACTATTTTTTATAGTATGACAAAAAAAAACGCATTTCCAAAGTATTCGGCTTCTGACGATAGTTAAATTTAAAAAAATCATAACTTCCATAATTTTTATCAAATAAGGAATTTAAAAAATACCTATTTTCATATTTTTCATAAAAATTTCGAAAAAAAATGTTTCAGCCAAAAAAAAAAAAGTGATAAAAATTTCATGTGGAATTCCCCATATATGTGTATACAGTATAAAACAACTTAATTAACGATATATGACAGAATGCTTATTGATTATAGTTGCTTACCACTTTATCGCCCAAATTTCGAACACGGCAGGGGAGATAGGCAGTTTGACCTTCCAAGGCGGAAACATTGGCAGCGGTCTGTTCGAAAACAGGTACATCTCCCTCGGGGTCTTCGGTTAAGGATATACCCTGGGATTTTTCCACGGATATGCCACCATGAATCTGAACAGGCGCTGAAAGGAAGAAGGTGTGCTTTGAATTCGATATACCAAATACGATATATACGTGTAAGACATTTTACAAGTTTAAAAAAAAAAACAAGAAAAATCTCTTTCAATATAACATTTCAGGTTATTTCTACTGAAGCAATATTATTCCTGTTACGAAAACATTGTAAAAAAATGCATAAGTACAGCATGAATAAATAAAAAAAAAAAAAAACAAATGCAACAATGTTGAATAATTTTACACTATGAAAAAAATATAAGCAAATTTTAATGTTTTAAAATTTTTATAACTTTTTTAATTTTAGAATTTTTTTTTAATTGTTTTACAAAAATGAAAGCGGAGAGTCAGCATGGTTGGGACAGTTTTTGACTTGTGCCCATAACTTCCGTTTTAGGGTAAATTTAAAATTCTCTCGTATATGGTTGGAAAGATACACTAAAGTGGAATATTTCTTCTGAACATTAGAAAATGATTGGGTCAAAAGTGTAAAAGTTAGAGGCATTTAAAAGAAAAAAATTTTTCTCGTGTAGGTTGGGCCAGGTCTTGATGCTTGGGCCACTGTATTAAATCAATATGAAATGAAGAAAATTGACCAAAAAGGACCCGCAAATGGCAGAAAAATACTGAAATTGAGCTGAAAATGATAAAATAAAATCTGAAATTAAAATAAAATTAGCCCCCTTAACCAAAATCCGATTATTCGCGAAATTGGTCTAAAAAGTTAAAAAATCAATTGAAAATTCAACTATTATTTTTATTTCACTTTTTTAAGTAATGTTTTATATAAATATAGTTAGTTTTCATTTGATAGGTTAAAAGTGGAGGGGAATCAAGAATGAACGTGAAATGAAGATTAACATCGGTCGTCGACATCTTCAATTTACTTAAATTGGTCTAAAACTTCCGGGACCTAAACTCATTTAGTTCTTCGCGAGACATTTGATTATATAGACAACATTGCATGCATACATATGCATATATATAAAATGATTTCCTTAAGTCGTTTCATTTTATTAGACGTCATACTTTTCGACCTCAATTTTAGAACCGTTAAGTTTGAGATTCATAAAAATGATTATATATATATATGTATATAGATATACTCAAAAACGATGTCTGAAGGGAATATTCAGTTTTAGGTCATTTCCGAAACGAGAGGGTATATCTTATCGTGTGACATTTATCGCAAGTCCCTTCTGATGGTCTCTCTGTAGCATCAATCATCATCTGTGGATATAACGACAACATAGAGGGATATCAGAAATGGCTTTATGTAAGAACGATATATATATATTTTTTTTTTTTATTAAACACAGTCTTTTAGGCACAATACCATAATATATATATATATATAGTTTAATGATTTATATCACCCACCGCATTAAGCAATATATGAAAACAATGCAAAACCGAATTCAGAACTGTTTAATAAATTACATACTACTCTTGACAATAAATACGCGTTATATACATAAAAATATTCTGAAAACTGTGAAATATACAATAGAGAACAGAATTGAATTGGTCATTGCAAAAACTATACAAAGGTGAATATTTTGAACAAAAAAAAATGCTAAATTCGAAAGTGAAACACTAATGTATAAATGGAAATTGAATAAAAATATAATATTTCACATAACAGAGAAAAAATTAAGGGAGAGGGGCATTAAAATTTATATCTATTGAAATTTTTCTTGTTATTTGACGATAATTTTTTTTTTTTTTTTTTTTGACATTGTTTAGGATGTAAAAATGTTTTACGTTATCAAAATTAAGAAAAATAAATTTTTCACATTTTTAGAAATTTTAATTTCTAAATCTCTATACAATTAATTGTACAAAATCATAAAAGAACTGTAAATAATAAAATTGACGAAGAAAAATATATAAAAATTGTGTAAAAAGTACAATTTAAAAAAAAAATCCAGTTAAATTTCCATTAATAAAGTCGAAAAATTATTTGACCCCCAAAAGCAACGAAAATTTCAAAAGATTAAAATTTTACTGGTTACCTTCCTTTAAACCCCAAAATTACTAAATTTGATTTAATTTCTATTTTCCTTACAGAAATTTAATTATACTCATTTTAAACGATAAAAAAAAATTATTAATAAATTCATAACTTGCTGAATAAAATAAAATAATTAATATATACAAATTTTCAAAAGCATTATTGACAATTTAATATATTAAATATGTAAACATTTTGAAACACAATTACTATTCTATAAATGGAAATTATTTTCTTTACAAATAACTCTTCAAATCTATAACTTGTTAATTAAAACATTTAATTAATAAACAAAATTTCAAAAGAATTTACCATTTATTAAATATTATAATTAATGCAATACAATTTTCTATATATAAAAATGATATTCATTAAAATCTTATTCGTTAGAGATATTATAAAATAAACTAATGAGAGAAACTTATTTTGCTTCATATAATGATTATTTTTAAATAATTATCAATCAACAAAACATATTGTAAAGCTTAAAAATATATGTACAAGAATACATTTCATATCATTTTACGATTCAAAATCGACGATATATTCATTATAAAGCTAATTAAAAGTGTATAGTGACTTCATTATAAATAATGTAGATAGTATTGTCTCTGGACTATATGGATTGGTTTAATTTTTCATTATACTAAAGTTTGATCATTTACAGAATTTAAAAATTTTCATTTAATTATTGAAAACAGAAATTAATAATGATGATATAATTAATTTTACGAGATGTATTTAACTGTCAAAACTTAAAATTTGAAATTTTTTTAACATTTTTGAAAATATGATACTCCTTAATGGTGGGATTCGTATATGTATTTATTATTATTATTTGAATAAGCGATACGAAACTTGATAGTATCATTTTGGAATGCAACGTTTTGATTCGATATAAGATATCAAATTGATCCAAATATTTGAATCATTTTCAAGAAATGATCCAGAATATGGGATCATTTTTTGATACCTGAATTGGTATCAAAGTATAACTGTCATAGCTGGCATGCTCTTATTGACAAGTTTATTAATTAATTTATTCATTGCACTTAATATTCAGATGATAAAAATACTTTTATTATGAATTTTAAGAAAGAGAGAAGCGAAAACTTATAAATTGCGAGCAATTAAATAAGAAAAAATTTATTTCGAAATAAAATGAAATACACTAACCTTTATTTATGTTTATCACAAGATTTAAGTTAAGTTCACAATCACAAAACTTGAAAATTTTTAATTATTTTTATGGTTCAAATAATTATCAATAATTTATTTATTATAAATGAACAAAATTTAAGTAATGCACGCTTGATAAATATTTCTAATGCGTTGTCAATTAATGCAATTAATAATTTCCTATTACACAATATCATAATCGAAATATATATGATATTTGTAAACAAACAGGGTTGGGAAACAAGAGCCCAAAATATATTCGTCCAAAGCGAATTTCAATCCTACCCAACTCTGCTTTGGACGAATATATTTTGGGCTCTTGTTTCCCAACCCTGTTTGTTTACAAATGTCATATATGTCGATTATGATATTGTGTAATAGGAAATTATTAATTGCATTAATTGACAACGCATTAGAAATATTTATCAAGCGTGCATTGCTTAAATTTTGTTCATTTATAATAAATAAATTATTGATAATTATTTGAACCATAAAAATAATTAAAAATTTTCAAGTGTTGTGATTGTGAACTTAACTTAAATCTTATGTGATAAATATAAATAAAGGTTAGTGTATTTCATTTTATTTCGAAATAAATTTTTTCTTATTTATTTGCTCGCAATTTATAAGTTTTCGCTTCTCTCTTTCTTAAAATTCATAATAAAAGTATTTTTAATATCTGAATATTCAGTGCAGTGAATAAATTAATTAATAAACTTGTCAATAAGAGCATGCCAGCTATGACAGTTATACTTTGATATCAATTTAGGTATCAAAAAATGATCTCATATTCTGGATCATTTCTTGAAAATGATCCAAATATTTGGATCAATTTGATACCTTATATCGAATCAAAACGTTGCATGAGTTGATCGTAATTCTTGTATCAATTTGATACACACAAGAAAACTGTGTAAAGAAATAAAAACAATAAGTTTGAATCGAATTGGGACGCATGATTATATGTTCTAAAAATCATTAGTTAGAATTTTCATTTTATGGAATTTCATTTTTCATCATTATTTTTGAGCCGAATTTTTATTTGTTCGTATTAGTATTTTACAGAATTTCCATCAAAACGATTTTCTATATTACAGAATTTAAAATAGAATCTAAATTTTTATATAACCAAAAATTCACTTTACAGAATGATTATTTGTTCGAATTTTTATTTGTCAGAATTTTCACAGAAAAAACGCTGGATAAATTTTGTTGCGGGTAATTTTATCCAATGCTAATTCACATAGACAGTGGCGCCCTCAACTAGGGTAAAATTTGTTGCAGTTAATTCTTATACCGATTTTGTGGTAAAAATTCTACTTTTTTTTTTTAGTGTGTTCATTTAACATAATAGGCATATTTTAAAGAATTTTTATTGGGTAAAATTTAATTGCATAGAAATTTTCTTTCAGATGAATTTCCATTTGTTCAAATTATTATTTAATATAATTTCCATATAACTGATTTTTCATACACTACAAAATTTTTACTTAACCGAAAAATAATTTAACAAAATTTTTAATTGATAGAATTTTCATTTGTCGGAAATTGCAAATGACCGAACAAACAATCGATAGAAAGATTCGGCGCGATTTTGAAAATCAACCAATCAAAAATTATCCATAAAATTGTAATTGTTTATTTTTAAAAATCGCGCTGAATCTTTCTGTCGATTGCTTGTTCGGCTATTTGGAATTTCGGACAAATGAAAATTCTATCAATTAGCAATTCTGTTAAATGATTTTTTTCGGTTAAGTAAAAATTTAGTAGTATGAAAAATCGGTTATATGAAAATTATATCAAATAATAATTCGA